AACCACAAACACACACGTAGAGATTCGGGAACAAAACTTCCCAATGGAGTGAAACAGAGTGGCAATTTATACATGCAGTAATCTGAACTACATTGGGCTGCAGGACACCCTCCCAATCCCAACCCCAGCCCCCCCATCTCTCCCCCCAAAAAAAATAAAAACAAAACAAAAAAAAGTCCATGCGGGTGAATGGTACGCAAATGTAGCTTGTTACCAAACAGATCATGAGTTCGAATTCTGATGGACTCACAAACTTGTCGACCTTGCCCAATTTTGTAAAATGTTGTGTTACTTGTAGGACGCCATTTTCAGAGTGGTTGCGTCTATTCTTCATCTGGGAAACATAGAGTTTGTGGCAGGTAGTGAGCCAGATTCATCTCGTGTAGCAGATGGGCGGTCAAGATTCCATCTGCAAGCGGCGGCAGAGCTCCTGATGTAAGTTCAGCAGACAGACAGTACTTGAAGCCCAGGCTTCTCCTTTTTTTTTTTTCGAAGGCTTGTTAGTCGGTCCTGTCACCCTCCGCATCCCCACCCCCTTCTCCTTTCTGTCATTCCTCCTTTCTCCTTCCTCCCTCCTTCCTCCTTTCTCCTCCTCCTCCCCCCCTTTCCCACCTCCTGCGTTCCCCCCTCCCCAATTTCCTCTGCTCCCTTCTCCGCCTTCCTCCCCACCCCCCCCTTATCCCTCCCTCCCCACGCACTCCTGGTTCTTCTTGGCCTATTTCCACTGCGTGTGCTGAAAGCAAGCATGTTTGTGTGCCGCTACCCTCTAATGGTTGTGCTTGGAGATGGTAATTCCGTCACTTTGTGGCAGCTGGATCTTTTTGGATCATAGCTCAGTTGGCACACTCATGAGCTGTTGAAATATGAATCAGACCCAAGTTCGAATCGAGATGCAATCAGATGAGCAGAACAAATTTCAACAAAATGATTCTGAATTACCTAGAGCGGTGAGTTCACTGATGATACGTCAAGGCCGCCGCCCTTTCTGAAAAAACAAAATGATCCATTGAAAAAAGTATGTTTTCTCTCACCAGACTGTGCAGAAAGTCGACTGGTATGTTCACTGATGATACTTTCTTATCGGTAGTTGAATCAATATTGCCCACCTGCAGGTCGCGTGCTTCTGTGTTCTTTCGTGGACACGGTTGTGGCTGCTACGGGGTTCCCCGTACGACTATAATTACGAGTAGTGGTAGGTAGGTAGTGTTAGGTGAAATTAAGAGAAGAATGTAGCTTGCTTTTATTTGAAAAATTAAAATGAAATTGATAGCATTCCAAGACGTCGGCTTGTTGCCTAGATCCACAGGAACTGTCCATGGGTGTACCATTGAGCCAAATTGGATTGGCAGAATGCCGAAGCTTGAAGAAATGAAGGATGTGTTGCTTATCTTTTTCTTCTTCTGACCTGTCGCAGCTACACTGCGGCGAAGGACGATGACAAAAACATTTTGCGAAACACCCCAGCCATCAGTTGGACCCCCTCTTTGCAATGTACCCCTACCAGACGCTGCCCAACTTTGCAAAATGCCCGGGCAGTTGCCGAGTTTTCGTAGGTCCAATTGCAAAAGGCCATGCGAATTTTCACACCCACCTGACAGGGGCATAACACAAACACGTCAGTCCAAAAGGCCATTCCACTGTGCCCATATCTTTTAGGGTCATTTTGACATATATCTCGACTTATGGGGGTATTTGGAAAATTACTCCCCCCCCAAAAAAAAAAGGAGACTCTCTCTCCCCCCTCCCCAAAAAAGAGGAGACTGTGTGTGTGTGTGTGTGTGCGTGTGTGTGTGTGTGTGTGTGTGTG